TTGGTGTTCAAGATATTAAAACATTGAAACAGGAGTGTATGTAACACAGCCTGACTGACAAGCAGTGAGCATGACTTCACTCCTTCAGGATTTGAGAGCCTATCACGCTGTTTGATGTTAGGCAGAGCCCAGAAGCCAGATGAGAGACGGCTGTTGCTAGGTTCACACCCACATTGCCCACTAGGCAGCCACATCTCTTTGAAGGTTTTTTGTTGATTTTATTGTTGATGAAAATCAATTTGCCATGAAATCAGAAAGAATTTACTAAAGTAGTCATCACAAAATGCAGAAGCAATCGAAAATCGAACTGCATGTTATTACTGCATCAAAGACAGAAAAGCTTACCTTGAGAAGTATTACATATTTTTCAAATAAAAGTCCACCAAACAGCACTGTACTTTTAACACAGAATCATGAGACTGCTTTAATACCCCGTTTCGTAATTTCAGCCAAGCTTATTAACAGAAATGCCAAAATACCTGGCATTACAACATAATTTATTCACAACATGTCCATTTGTGATTTCCATTTAAGGACAATAGGTTAGTCTAAGAAATTTGCTTTCAAGCTTTCCTATTTTCCTTACTCTTGTCTGGGTGTCTTCAGCTGTTGTCTGATTTTCTGTAACTCCTCTAGCCCTTTCTCTTAGAGATAATATGTTCGTTTGCCACCGTTTTCAAAAATAAGCTTGTAGAACCACTGCTTCCTCTGTTCTCCTTCACCAGTCTTTGCCATCAACACCACCAAAAATAGCAACATTCTATCTGAAGCTACAGTAAGTTACCCTGAAGATTGCTCAGAAGCAACTGCCAGTGAAACCGGCAGCTGTGTGGTTGTTTAGAACCAGCTGGCCATATGTTGTATGAAGACTTAGGCTTTAAAGAACTTTCTAAATTGCTAGTTAATTTCCTGAGGTATTTTGAAATATTGCATACATACTGTATATTTTCCTTTCTAGATTTCTCTAAGAATACTTTTTCTTCTCACAATTTAAAATGTAGCTTCTGTGAAAGCATTCCTGGCTGGTCTTAAGCAGGAAGTGAGTTCATATGTTGTGGGATCTGACCAATACAGGAAAGAAATCATGACTGTATGGTAGGATTTTGCTACTGGTGCTACCTTGAGTACTACTATATTTTACTTTGTTTTGTTTTCTTTTTCTGCTTACAGATTTATTGGCTAGGTATAACTAAACAGCCTCCAGCTGAGGCAGGAGGATCACTTGAATCCAGGAGTTCAGGACCAGCCTGGGCAACAAAATGAGACTCCATCTCTACAAAAAATAAAATAAAATTAGCCAGGTGTGGTGGCATTCACCTGCAGTCCCAGATGCTTGGGAGGCTGAGGTGGAAATATCACGTGAGCCCTGAGCCTGGCGGTGGGTCAAAGTTGCAGTGAGCTGTGATTGCACCACAATAGTACCACCGCACTCCAGCCTGGGCAACAGAAGGAGACACTGTCGGAAAAAAAAAAAAAAGAGAGAGAGAGAAAAGAAAAAGAAAAAGAAAAAAAGACATATATCGTGTAGTACCTTAGCAGCATACTGAACACAGAAAAGCAATCTGCATTATCATGTCTTAGAAAGGTGAAGCAAACATGTTATTAAATAGTATATTCTACAAAGTCACCTAACTGTGAAACCACAGAGAAGAGTGCTGGCCCAGACCTTGTAAAGCACACAAGGAGCCCCTCATGTGGCTTCGGTTATTTAGTTTTTCTGTTGGATAAAAAGATTGGCAGTTGCATGTTGAACTTCTTAATACTTGCTGATCTAAATTTTAAACATGGCTAATCTTTGTAAAGTCAGGCAAAGTTGAGAAGAGGGTTGTGAGAGGCCTGACTAAAGATTGGTCAAGGAGAGTCCTTGTCAACATACATACCCATACATGTTTGTGTGTATGTATGTGTGTGTCCTTGGACATATTACATTTCAATGCCTGTTACATCCACATTGACATGTTGAGTAGGTAAATATATAAATTTAGAATCTAGCACTTAAGGGGGAGACTGGAGGCTGGACATAAATTTGAAGTTTTCGGGAGTTTTACTATAAAGAAATCAGATGGTAGCCAAAGGGCAATAAGTAGAGTTATTAAATGAATATATGGCTATAGTTATTATAATAGTTTTAGATATAGCTATGGTTATACATAAAGTACAGATTCTCCCTCAGGGCTTTCACACTTGGCATTCTCTCTCCTTTTTGATATTTCTGTTTGGCTTGTTCTCATCTTCCAGTGTTCTTTCTAACTCATCACTGTACCAAAATTTGCTCCCATCACAACTAACTTCTGTTCCCTCCTTCTGTTTCATTTAAATCAATAAAAGTTATCAATCCTTTTTTTTTTTTTGAGACAGAGTCTCGCTCTGTCGCCCAGGCTGGAGTGCAGTGGCCAGATCTCAGCTCACTGCAAGCTCCGCCTCCCGGGTTTAGGCCATTCTCCTGCCTCAGCCTCCCGAGTAGCTGGGACTACAGGCGCCTGCCACCTCGCCCGGCTAGATTTTTTGTATTTTTTACTAGAGACAGGGTTTCACCGTGTTAGCCAGGATGGTCTCGATCTCCTGACCTCGTGATCCGCCCGTCTCGGCCTCCCAAAGTGCTGGGATTACAGGCTTGAGCCACCGTGCCCAGGCTCAATTCTTAAAAGTATAAAATTTATTCATGTATTTATTATCTGTCTTTCCCATTGGAATGTAAACTCTAAGACAGTAAAACCTTGCCTTCATTAATATAAACTAGAACTGTGAATTACACAAAATATGTTCAATAAATAAAGCACGAATATATGCCAGTTTGTATGGTTGTATGTATGCACACATACACACTTTTATTGCACAATCTCATGTGATTTATTTAATAATTAGAAATAAATATGTAAAATCTTCTTTCCTGTTCATGTCCTGATGCAAAGAGGCAAAATAACAGCATCATAATCAATAATTTACTAAGGATTTATTTTTTATTTTAATCAAGTGTTTACTAAGGTAAATTTTTCATATCCATGCCTGTGATTTTATTTCAGCTAGGTGTCCAATACTTTAGAAAGTTAAGACCTTATCATTCAAAAGCAAGCAAGTGGAACAACAACAACAACAACAAAAAACGAATGAAAAAAAGGCCTTATCTAGATTCTAAAAAATATTTTGCAATGCAATATATTATTATTATTTAATATGTTTATTTTATTTAATTTGGTAAAAAGTGAAAACACTCAAATCACAGTCAAACATGATGGATCATGCAAAGAGTATTAAGAAACTGAATTGTAAGTAACAGGTAATATGAGTAAATTAAACCTAATGGAATCTTAATAGAAGCAAATTTGTTTCCTATTGGATTTTCCAATACTTTTGCTGGTAGCTAACATGCTCATAGGAAAAAAGAAATCTAGTTTAAAACTTTATGAACAGGAAAAAATGTACAAATATATGAGAATAGAAAATATGCATCCATCTGTTTTAAAAGATATAGAAATACCACATGGAGATTCTGCATGTGCAAAGCTAACTAGAACAGTTCTCCAACCTGCAGATAAACAGATACAGTAAAATGTGTTAAGTGATAAAAGAGGACTTAGGAGTTCAGGGAAGCCATGCTGGGGAGACGATGACAAACTTAAATCTTAAAGAATGTGTGAGACTATAGGAACACACAGTATGAAATTTATAATATAAGAGCATGAAGTATTTGGGAAATTCATAACAAAAACAATATTAAAGAATAGACGAAAGTACAGGCATAGATTATTATGTGTCATTTTCTCCTCCTATATAAAGAAATCTAAACTTGTGGCAGAGACAAAAGCTTATCTCATGTCTAGATGCTGGTGCGCTCACCTCTTAAATACTTACAATATTTAAGTGTCGTCAGAGATATCTAGAGGCAGGAGGGTTGGCAAGAAAGTAGTTGTTGCTGAAATTGTACACAGTATAGAGTAATCAAAAGTTATCCCGAAGAAAGGGCTAGTAAAAATCATTCCTTCTGTGACTTTCTACAGTTGACTATTGAACCATTCTGAGAAAGCGCCTAAATAGAGAGTTTTGCCCAGACTCCTAATGTAGACTTATTACAGTAAAGATACTTTATGTATGATATATTCACCAGTTCAGTGACATTTCACCCTATAAATTTCCTTATTTAATATGTTTCATTAACGCAGATACAGGACTCCTGAGCAATTTTCTAAGGATTCTTATAGTCAAAAATAAATATTTGAACATTTCATTCTCCGTAATAACATTACCAAGTCATAAGAGTGTGGCCTGGTCAAATGATATTACCAAACACATCCAGCCTTTCCCAGTGAATTCTCAAAGATCCTTTTGGAATAAATCTCTACAAATTGTCATTTCTCCCAAACACTGAATTCTAACACCGAGAAAATTGCTAACACTTTATAAAATAAGAAATAATGTAGTTCAGATGTGAAATCAATCATTTCAAACATCAAATTTGATATATCTCTTAGCTTATTGTTCTTTTGGGGGTCAGGTGAGTTGTTTAATATCATTGAAACATTTCAAGAAATAAGCAGGATTCTTTTAGATTTGCAGATAAGTATTTGAAATTGCTTCAGGTAAGAGGATCCAAGTGAAATAGAGCAGAGAGATTAAATGAGAGAATGATACAATGGATGTGATTAGGTGATATGATTGAAGAAAGAAAAAGGAACCAGCCAGGGAATTAAAGAAAATGAACACAGACATATAGAAACATCCTACAGAGGACACAGAAAAAGTGAAACGATTTGATAGCAACCTACACAAAGGACTAAAGAAAATGAAAATACAGAATATACTTCTGAAAAGAAAAAGAAGGGAGGCCAATAATTGATTTTTAGGAAGACAGCAGAGATAGCAGAAAGTGGCACAGGGTGATCCCAGGAGACGGAAATCACAGGAAATGGTGAAAGAGCAGTTCAGGCATGCTTGTAAATTTGGCCATCAGTGTTACAGGTAACCTCCTGAATGTGTTAAATATCAGATTCAAAGTTCAGTACCTTGGCTTTATCTCTCATTGATCCTTTGCCCAGGATAGACATTTTAGCACCTGTTTCTTCCTGTAGCCTCTTCAAGGAGTTTCCTCTTGGTCCAAGCAATTTCCCCACAAAATTGAACTAGGAAACAAAATCAATAGAATGCCTGTTTTAAGGTACAATAAAGTGATTATTTGCACCAAGAATAATTGATGGGTTATAGGTTTTTCAAACTTTACCACTGAGAAGAGAGTCATGCCATAAACACACACACACACACACCCCCCAAACCATTTCAGATATCTAATCTAACATTCATTTTAAAAGCTATATCTCTTCTTAAAACAATGCCTAAGTCAAAAGTATGTTGAAAATATCATTTACATATATAATCAAATGAATCATTTATTAAGGAAAGAAATTAAGGAGAATCATGCTGGTTTACAGAATTTCTAAAGGCTTCTTCTCTCAAATTATATTATTGAAATAAGAGATGATTTTTTTCTTTTTTTTTTTTTTTTTTTTTT